GTGCCCCTGCCCCACAAGCAGGCCCCAGGCCACCTGAGCCAGTGCCTGAGCCAGCCCCAGCCTCCCAAGGAGGCCCTCAGCTCCTCAAGCAGGTTCTGCCCTCCCTTCCTCCCCAACACTGCAGGTCCTGGCACCACCACCCCACCACACAGTAGGTCCTGGGCCCTGGCGGCCGGAGCAAGCCATCCCACATTACAGGTCCCGGCCCCCCCCACAAGCAGGCCCCAGGCCACCTGAGCCAGTGCCTGAGCCAGCCCCAGCCTCCCAAGGAGGCCCTCAGCTCCTCAAGCAGGTTCTGCCCTCCCTTCCTCCCCAACACTGCAGGTCCTGGCACCACCACCCCACCACACAGTAGGTCCTGGGCCCTGGCGGCCGGAGCAAGCCATCCCACATTACAGGTCCCGGCCCCAGATGCTGGACCTCCTCCCGCCTCGCAGCAGGTCCCAGACCCAGCTGTGGGAGCAGGCCCCTCCCTCCCACTATGCCTCCTCAGCCTGCCCCAACTCCCAGTAGTCCCTCCAACTAGAGGGGAAGGTGGTGCCTGGGTCTGACAGTGACCACCACTGTTAGCTTCTGAGGAAGGAGCAAAAAGCACTGCAGTCCTCATTTATGGGAACAGCTACTCCTAACCAGGATTCCTGCTAAGAATTTCCATCCGTGAGCGCAGTGAGTTTTGGTCTTGTGCACCGATTATGCGTGGGTGGGTGGGTGACGTGTTATGGAGAAAAATACTAAAACAGCCCTTCCCAGTCACAAAGAATAAAAAGAGCTGTTAAATCAGAACTTTCACCCATGCTTCCTTCTTACTATGGCTGACCCTAAGTGCTAATGTACTGCATCATGCCATCAGTTACAGATAAGGTTAAAAAAGAAATCACTCTCTCGTCCCCTCACACACACCCCTGCAAAGTTTGAACAATAAGCTATTTTTCTTAAAGACCTGTGCTCTGCTGCTACACAACACCAGTAATAAATGGTGGCAGAAATGGTTTCCTTGACAAAGAGCAATTGCTACTGTTCTCAAGGGGAGTAGAAATGAAAACGTGCATTACCACCTCCTAGAGCCTAACCCTCTAGCTCTCATTGGTGACTTAATTTTTTGCACCTGACTGAATTTTCATACCATTGTATTTCTTGCAAATAAAAATTTGAGTTTCAAGTTCTTCAATTACTGTTCCGAATGCATGCTATTCTCCGGTTATGACAGTAACAAATCAAGCAGGTGCCAGCCCCAACCACAGGGCTCCTGCACCTGTCCCCTGAACAGCCACCACCCCCAGAAAAAAAAAAACCCAGCCCCAACCACAGGGCTCCTGCACCTGTCCCCTGAACAGCCACCACCCCCAGCCACCGGGCTCCAGCCCCTGATGCCCTGGAACCGGGGCCAGTGAGGCTGAGCTTAAAAGCCGGTTCCCCCCAGCTCCAGCTCTGTGGGAGGGGGCGGGGCACAGCGGCAGTGTCCCACCTTTGAAGTGTAAAAGAGTCCCCACTGGGGCTCTTGTACATTTCAAACTAGAAGCTCCCCACGGATCCTGGGGCCAGCGGGGGACTCAGAATACCTCAATGGCCCCAGGCTCCACGCAGCGTTTCAATCTTTGAAATGCACAAGAGCCCCTGCTGGGGCTCTCATACATTTCAAAGGTGGAACGCTGTGCAGCACTTCTGCCTTTGAAATGTAGAAACAGGCCAGCGGGCTCTTGCTGCATTTCAAATCAGAAGTGCCCTTATCGACTAATCAAATAATCAATAGAAATTCCCTTGACTATTCGATTAGTTGATTAATCTAATTTTAACATCCTTAGTTTTTTGTCCCTGACTATACTTGTGTTAAACGTAGATTCCTCTCCCACTTAAACCAACAGGGGAAATTATGAGAGCTGGGTTTGTCTCTATCCACTTCAATGAAAGGCCTTGTCTTCTGTTTGTTCTACTACAGCGTGACACATCTGATGAAGTAGGTTTTACCCATGAAAGCTCATGATAATATATTTGTTGGTCTCAAAGGTGCCATGGGACTGCTCATTTGTTTTAAAAACAAGAGTGTTTAGCAAGACACACACTCCTGTTCCCAAGGTTCTGATTTCAGCATTCAAACCTCAATTAGACAAATTCATCTACTGGAAAACTCTAGCTTACAATCTCTTTCTCTCCACAAAGTAACAAGTGGTGGAATTCCCACGGCCTTTTGCTATGCTCCAGTGAAAACCTGTATGAAGTATTGTAGCTATGTTGATCCCAGGTTATTAGAAAAACAAGATAGGTAAGAAATATCTTTTATGGGATCCATTGGTGAGAGAGATAAGCCACTGAGCTTACACAGTAGTTCTCCTGCGGGCCAGAAGGCAAGCTCTGTGTAAGCTTGAAAGCTCATCTCTCTAATCAACAGAAGCTGATCCTATAAAAAAATATTACCTCACCCACCCTGTCTCCAGAGCAAAAGCTTGTTCTTTCACACCCATTTGAAACAAGAATCCGTGTGTCACATCAGACCACGGGTTTGCCGAGCCCAGTGTCCCACCTCTAAATGTAACCAGAACCTGATGATCTGAGGAAGGTTAAGAAGCCTCTAACGTACCTAGTTAATTATGCAACATTGTACATGAGGTTTGTGACCATAGAATCCCTTCTAACCCCTGGCCATTCTGTTTTTGCCCTGAAGCAGGCAATATGATTGCGTTCATCTTAGTTTCCATAGCTACACATTTTACAGGCTGTCCCAAGATCATCCAGCCCAGACACAGAAATCTGTAAAATTAATTTCCAAATTCCAATCTAACTCTGTGGTAAAATGAGCACCCCATAGTAATGACCAGGGACTTGGAGAGCAGGACTAGACAGCCTCACATGGGAGGGATAATAGAAGCCTACCTGCAAGGTTGTGCAGCTATTCCCTTGTGGCGAGAGGCCCCGCCTCTCAGCATTCTGATTGGTCACTGTAAGGACAATGTGAGTCCCCGTGGAATCTGTGATGAGGGTAGGGGGGGGGGCCCCCTTGATGAGGTCACTCAGGATGCTCCCTTGCTGACCAAGGAAGATCTGTGGGGTGTGGGGCTGGCATGGTGGCTCTGTTTCTGCTGTCGGCACCTCCTGCTTCACCATCACCGCTTTCTTTGGCACTGAGCTTGCATCCGAAGTGTCCATTTGGCTAGTGGTGGACACAGGGTTGAATTGATCTGTTGGACCATCAGGTGTACACTGGCAACTCAAGAAACCATTTTCACTCTTAATCTGGGTGCCAAAAGCCACTGGACTGGTGGCAGGGATCAACCCTCCCATTCTGGTTTCTGTGGCTGCTAGCGGCTGCTGAGACCGTTTCTCCTGCTCTAGCTGCAGCCTCAGCATCTCCACAAGCTGCTGCTTTTGTTTCAGCATTCGAGTTAGTTCCTCAATCTGTTTATCCTTTTCCTGCAACATCTGGTCTTTATCCTGGACCTCCATGTCCTTGCTGCTGCTGCACTGCTCCAACCTGGGTGCTGGATTTAGGCTGCAGGAGTTTGTCTTAGAGCTCTCTTCCTTCACCAGGAACTGTACCGGCGATGCCTGCAGGGTGAGCTGGGTCAGAGGTGAAGTCACTGTCTCTCCAAAGGCATCTCCAGTTGCAGAGTTCTCATCCCCAGTGCTCATCTGTGAACGCTCTGAGGGGGTGGGTGAAACAGGTGGTGTTGAGCTTGTGCTCCCAAACTTCATCATGCCATTGCCAGTGACCGTGGGCCAGTGCCCGTGGCCACAACAACCTCTGCCGGTGCAATGCCAGCAGTAACCAGTGCTGGTCCAGTGCTCAGCCTAGCAGCTGGGAAGGCTACCACCACCTCAGCAGCTTTTGGGAGGATAGCTGTTGCATTGGGCTTGGGAGTGCTAGCTGTTTGATTGGCTGTGCCATTCTGCTCCTGGTAAGCTCTGAGCCGCTCAATCAGGTCTGTCTTGGTGCCTGAGACGGGCAACGCCCTCAGCTTCAATTCTTGCTTCAGTTCTGCCACCTAAGAAGGGGAACACTGTGTTACAGCTAAAAGAACACTTGCCCCAACTGGACCAGTCTTTAACATGTATGAGAGTCGTGAGGCAAGGGACTGAACTGACAGCCCTGCAGGCTGAAGGATCCTTTATTCCCCCATAGCCCATGTACAGCAGCAATGCAAGCTGCCACTACATAGTGCCTGTCAGAGTGCCTCAGCCTGGCTCTGGAATGGCCACTTCATTAAGCTCTTGCCTTCTCTTTTGACAATGCCAATAAGGGGCCCAATTAGTTTTAGCGCTGATGGCAGTACAGACACTTACCTTCATGTCATCAAGATTTGTAGGGAGAGGGCCTGGTTTGCCCACTGTGGCATTACTGTTTTGTCGCATCAGCCCACTAGAACTGGAGGATGCAGAAGATGCACTGCTGACAGCAGTAGAAAGACTACGCATGGCAGGGGCACTAGTTCCACCCTGCTGCTCTCCTAGAGACCTGCAGAAGGAAAAAGTGTGGATATCAGAATCAAAGTGGAAGGGATCCTCACTGCTCACCATCTGTGCTGAGAAGTCAGACAAGGACCTTTACAGCCCTGTGTGCTTGTGGAATCATGCAGGGCACCAGCACGCCCCAGTGTTACAGCTCACCAGTAAGTATCTTCTGACTGTACAGTGACCCGCCATTCTGGCTACTGAAAAACCAACTGAGTTCCACTGCTCTTGCCTGACTGATTCGCCCAGCACAGACCACTTCCTGAGGATGATGATAACTTTACAGGATTTACTAGCCAGACTACAAACTCTAACTCCTAGGTCTCACCCCTTCAGAGCTCAATATGCTTGGGATCTGAGGAACTTACTAAGGCATGTCTACACTAAGCAGAAGATCGAAGCTGCCGTGATCAAACTTCTGGAGTTCGATTTAGTGGGTCTAGTAAAGACCTGATAAATCGAATTCAGAGAACAACCATCAGCTGCCAGTATTCCTGCTCCTGCACAGAGTAAGGCAAGCCAACAGGATTGTTTTCTCCTATCAGCCTCCTGCTATGGGGATGACAGGGAAGCTCAAAACAAAGTACATTGACTCCAGCTATGTAATTAACGTAACTGCAGTTGCATATTTTGATTCGATTTTCCCCTTTAGTGTAGACCTGGCCTAAGAGAGCAAGTCCCTCATAGGGGAGTGGGGAGAGGCAGAAGAGGATCATGAGCAATACTGTAAGTCCCATCCTTTGGCAGGGTGGATAGGATGGTTTGGTAGGTATAGTGCAGCGGATGGAGACCATGAGTAGGGATAAAAGGGCAGGGGATTCCATATGGATGAGTAGCATTGAGGGACCCATACTTTGGTGGGGCTGGCAGGATAGTTTGATAGTTGTAGTGCTGCTGCTGCTGCTGGTTAAGGATCTGGAGCTGCAAGAAGAGCTGTTGCTGCTGCAGTATTTTGGCATAGGATGAGTCCATGGGGGGAGCCCCTTTGTCCTGCTTTTGGTCTGGGGGGATGTACTGGTGATATTTAAGCTTCTTGACTTTCGGCTTCAATTCCTTGGCTTTTTTACTGCGCTGAGACTTCTCACTGGCGGACTTGGGCTGGCTTTGCTATGCAAGAGGAGAGAGGGACAGGAGGAAGAAAATAAGAATAGAAACAACAGTTGCACTGGGACAGCATTAACATCTAACCAAAACCTACATGCAAACCAGGCTTTTTACTTCAAAACTTTCGCCAGATTTGGCTCTGGGGGCCTATTCACATTCTTAAAGCAGGGATAATTGTATGCACTGGGACAGCATTAACATCTATCCAAAACCTACATGCAAACCAGGCTTGTTACTTCAAAACTTTCTCCAAATTTGGCTCTGGGGTCTTTTCACATTCTTAAAGCAGGGATAATTGTACACACTCAGCACATTACACAGCATCAGAACAAGGGTACAGGCACAAAAGTACAAGGACTGCCACAGCACACAGATCATTGAACAATTAAGCTGAGACTCCTTGACCCTGATCATGGTCAATGCTAGATGTTCAGAGAAAAATGTTTGTATCTAGGACTCATTATGAATCTTGGCAACTGCACTAGAGTGTATTTGGAAGGGAGAGAGTCAACTTTCCGACCTAACCCCTGTCTCAATGAACTCTCTAACAGTAGAAGACCTAGACACTGATCCACACTAGTGTATTTGGAAGGGAGAGAGTCATCTTTCCGACCTAACCCCTGTCTCAATGAACTCTCTAACAGTAGAAGACCTAGACACTGATCCATCTCAAGCCCAGGGAAGGTTCTCTAAGTAGAGACCAAGCGGAGACAGTGATTGATACAAGATGTTCTTCCAGAGCGTCAGCAGCTCTTATTTAACATTCCCACACTCTATCATTCCCAGAGTAGCCACATTCACTTCTATTAGTCTATAAAAATAGAATAACACTGCCCAATACCTTAATAAGTGTTGGCGGGGGCTTGGCAGCAGGAACAGTGACTCTGTTGGCAAGGCTAGCAGGCAGCAGAGATGGTGGTGGAAGAGGAGGGAGTGGCTGTTCGGGTAGGAAAGGTGTTTCACTGGAGTCTACATTGATCTGTAACTGGGATACAACCTGCAAGGGGAAAAAGGCCATCACTCACAGACACACAAGCAGCTAAAAGTTTTCTCTCCATTGTTACAATTTTACCCTCCTTTCAGAAAGCAGAGAGCTGTGGGAACCTTCCACTAAAATTGCTATGCAGAGGTTACCAATCATTAAATGGCCAATTGGCTTCTTAATTTATTTCCTGAGACTCCCCTTGTCCAGCCTGGGCAGGAGCACACTTCTGTGGGCTCAAAGCATCTTAGAACAAGGAAGCAATCAAAGCTTACTTCTAACTCTATGCCCCTCCTCCCTTTGCCTCCCTTGACTAGTATACACTTAATTCACATGGCATTAGCAAACCACCAATCCCACTATCAATCCCCAACATGGCACAGCTATGTGCTATCTCCTATCACATCTAGGGACTCAATGGATGCCCATTCCAGCTGCAGCTACCCACAGGGTCATCCCAAGGCACCTGAGAAAGGGTCTTACTGTTACCATTCAGAAGCTAAATATCTCATGTTACTTCAGTGACATCCCACTAATGAATTGCTAAGGAACAAATCAGTCTCTTAGCAGTGACACCATGTGGATGTCTCTATGCCTCATCCTGCAGGGAGCCAGGTATTTGCAGTAGCTCATTCCTGAGATCCCGAAGAGCAGCAAAAGCGAAGGCACAGCATTCTTACCTGAGCTGGTGATAACACAGTGGTGCTGGGAAGCGGTTCACCAATCCGAGCTTCCATTGGTGATGGTACAGATCCCTGGGAATCATGACTGGCCGGCTGCTCTGGGGACAGGGCATCGCTGCTGTCTTCATCAAAAGAACTGTCTGCAACCTTTGGATAGTTCACCTGCCCAACTGAAAACAAAAAATAATTTCATATATTGAATGGTATTACAGTCACTAGTGGCGAGCAGGCAGGGGTGTGTGTGCTGGTCTATCTGAGTTCTCTCTTGGGTTTGGGGCTTAAGCTAAGAGAATAAAGCACAGACCTGAGCCTTTTCAGGGTGTTTCCATGCACTCTGCAGAATCATTATTATTGGTCAACCATAGCAAATGCTACAGAATAGTCTAGCAGGAGCATGGAAACACTTCCCTTGATTATGGACAGGAAGAGTTCATCCACTAAAACAACAGTTGCTTACTTCTACCATACTATGCAGCCTAAAGCCTGACAGAGGGATCTAGGGCAATGGCACATGACAAGGAGCATTGAGACTTGGTCTGGTGGCTTCTCAATTAGGAAATTTGGGTGCTAATTTCCATAGTCTAGTGTTAAGAAACAATTTCTTTGTATAATTTGTCGAGCCCTGCTGATGAATACTAATCTACTTGCCCGTGGCGAGTAGATTGTAACCCGGAAGAGCCGGATTCCGATGATCTGCGCATGCACAGATCACCGGACAGCACGGCTGGTGAGCGGGGCTCGCCGCGGTTCGGCGAGCCCTATTCATCAGCTACATGCTATAGTGTAGAAGAAAGGATCCTTCTCCGTGAAGGAGGCGTTAACAGACTCTCTTATTAGGGATACCATATGTTCTCTATTTTTTTATCCAGGCACAAAGGGAAGGGGTCAATCACCTGTTCCTCATATTTTTATCTGTGCATATAGGGCTCCCTGCAACCACAGTTTCTATGCATCCCACAGATATGAATGTATTTCCAAAACACCCCCGTGAAGCAGGGAAGTACGATCACCTTCACGTTACAGATGACCAGCTGAGGCAAAGAGAGATTAAGCGATCTACCCAATGAGTCAGGAATTGACCCCAGATCTCTCAAGCCCCAGTTCAGTTTGTTAACCACAAGATAATTCTTCTTCTCTTCATTGACCAATTTTTGTGTGATGATGAAGCCAAGCTTGCTCCTACCACAGCCCGGCACCTCTCAAGGAAATATACGCGCTCTTGCTCATGAGCATGCCTCCATTAGTCTCTGAAGGGAAGAGCCATTCCTTCAGTGACTGCTCAAGCTTGAGAAGGGTGCCATTATGTTCCTGCCAAATCTACCCAAATCAGGAGTGGGGTGATGCGGTCAGGCTGTGAGAGGGCTATTCCTCAACATTCCTTTTCACCCTTGGAATGGCACTGGAATGATTTACATCTGTTCCTCTTTATTTTCAAAGGAGCTGAATCCTCTGAAGAATTTAAATCAACAGAGAGCTGTTGTTTCCTCACACCTGTTCAGTCATGCGCCCTGTCTCCTCTCCCTAATCTGACTCAGTCAGTGGGCTCTCTTTGATGGAAAGTTAAAGACATTTGTTGTACAGAGAGGGATTTTCGGGAAGAAAAGGAATGCACAAGCTGGGAAACATGATCTCACAATAGTTTTCCGGTCTTGGGGTTTGGGACTTCATTTTATTTTATTCTGGGAGTCCAGCGTTCCATATAATCTTGTGTCTCTCCATCACTATCCAGACTGGAAAGGGAGCTTTGCATTCCAGAATCCTAGGACTGGAGAGGCTGAAGTTTTGGCATGGGAATGACATCTCATAGTATCTACCCGAGAACCTCACCAGAAATACAGATCCCCTTCCACACTTACCAATGATGGCTTCTTTCAGACTGGACTCCACAGGAAGGATGTTCTTCTCCACCAGTTCCATTGGACCTGGCCTCTGGGCTATCTTCTCATTGAGATCATCTGCCAGTCTGGCTCTCTTTAGCTTCAGCTGCTTGGCCTGCAGGGAGGGTTCAGCTGAGGTCTCTGCACAGGGAAGTAGTAAATACGATGGGATCAATTCTGGAGTGCCCAGTGTGACCATACTGGTATTACTATGCTTACATTCAGGAAGAAAGAGCTTTTCCCTTGACACTGGGTGAGAGAAGCTCCCTCCACTCAAATTGGCATCATTCAATTCATGACAATCATTTCTTACTCATCTGGTATCCTTTTATGCCTGATCCAGAAATTGGCCACATGCTCACCAGCTGAACCTTCTTATTGCCCCATTCCTTTGGATAGTTTAAACAAATTGTTCTGTGGTCAGCAGAACAGTCCTCATGCACCCCATTTCTCCATCTTTTATCCCCCCCGTTAATGACTGTGCACAATTGGGGTTCACATAGCAGATCTCTCTGTTGACCAAATAAGCCATGATGAGTATTTCCTAACCAGCCATAAAACTAAGGCAGCTTTATATATAGCTAGTCTCATTAGATGCTTTTCTCAACTCATTACTGGGGGGAATCTTAGATGGGTTGTCTGCAACTCAGTTTCTAGATTTGTACAAAACATACTCTTCAGACATATAGCTACAACAGGAGTTCCTCATTCCAGAAGTTGGTTGCCAGTTCTCACCTCCCTGATCTAATATATCCTCTCCCCCACCCCACCTGCAACCACCCACTCTGCTACTATGCAACTGGTATGATTATCTGCCCATTCCCAGCTGAACAAGGGTTTGATAGAGGCGGACAGCATCAGGGTTATCAAGACAGTAACTGTATGGAGAGGAAAAACAACAACAAATGGTCTGGTAGCACTTTATAGACTAACAAAACATGTAGGTGGTATCATGAGCTCATGATACCATCTATATGTTTTGTTAGTCTATAAAGTGTTACCAGACCATTTGTTGTTTTTTTCCCTGTAACAGATTAACTCGGCTTCCTCCTGAAGCTTCTGTATGGAGAGAGTCAGTGCTTGTTACACATCATGCCACATTTGAAGTTTTTCCCTTTAACATGTGCCATACCTTCCAGAATGTGCATCCTGACCAGCTCTGATCTCTCTGGCCGGGACCGGATCTTCCGTTTCAAATAGTCCTCTGTCTGCAGCAAAGTCAGAAAAGAATGAATCAGACACAGTCTAAGACAGGTCTGGGCAGCACTGGGTATTTGTTCTGGTTTTTTTTTTTTTAAATCCCTCTTTCATTGTTACCGAGACATGAATGAACTGCACACAGAAAGGGATATATTCCCTTCAAGTTCTTACAGTATTTAGAGATTCAAACACAAGATCAGTTTACTCAAGGGACTGACTGATACTTTTCTTTCCATATGCCATACTGCCAAACCAAGTCAGTGTCAGTCTGAGAGACTCAAGATGATGGGTTTTTGTTTATGATGCTGAGCAGTGGTTCAATTGTTTGCAGAGTAATACATGCAAAAGTAATGCTGGGATTTGGAAGCTGGGTCATGGTTTGGGCAACCTGCTCCATTTATTGCAAGTTCAGCTGTTATACTGAAGACCCTGTCTACTTCTCTGACCAGCTGGATGTAAATTCTGTGATAAACCCCACTATAAGCTGAGCATGCTTCCTACTCAGTACTCCCACAAAGCCCAGAGAATCAGAGATTAGGGTCAATGGGCAGCAGGACTATAAGTGCTGTCTACAAGAATTGACCCATTGAAGGCTTTATAACATTTTTTTAAACATAAAAATGCACTCACCCATTGCCAAGACCCCAAAAGTAATTTGATAATTAAGTTTCAGAACAAAAAGGAGGAAGAATTTACAGCTGGGGGGATGTTGCTCTTCAAGCAAACCAACTCCAAGACAGTGGGGCCCTGTTTCAGTGTTTTCAGAAAGCTGGTAGCGGTGGTGTTGTGTCGGATGTTCTGTTAGTGTCATTTCTCCAATTATGTATTGCTTTCACTTTTGAAACAAAACTCAAACCAACTGTCAGAGCAGGCGCCACTCTGCTGTTGGCGGATCTGAAGAACATTCTTCCCCAGAGGCTTTTTGGGGAACTGAAATCACCAAGAAATTCCACTGTACAAGCAGCTAGCTACAACATTAAGTGCAGTGCCTTCTCAAGAGGCACAGGTCTGTGATTTTCAGCTTCTAACCAAGATGATTTAGGATCTTCTTCATCAAGCTGCTGGTTCTAAAGAGAAAATACACCCACGGCTTGGGAGCCCCCTACTCTAACAAAAGTGTGCACACTGCACAGAAGCAACATCCTTTGGCTCAAAAGAATCAACATACACTTGGGCTACAGATATGTATGTGGTCAGTATGAGCATGGTGATCCCCAGAAACAATGGTGTGGGGAGATTTGGATCATTACCCTCAACTGGCATTTACTACTACTGGGGGATTCTGCACCATTGGCCTCATGCACAATTCATGTTCCCCACATATTTCTTTGCTTCCCTATCAGAAATTCGTTTTTCTGTGGGGAAGCAGACTTTCTGATGGGGAAGCAAAGGGAAGCCACAAAAGTGCCCCTCCCCAGACACCAGGGCATGTTGTTTTGGGTGCCTGGAGCAGCTGGTGGAGAGGAAAATCACAGTGCGGGGAAGAGGGAGAGGGCAGCGCAGTTAGTGGCTCTTACCCTGTACCAGACTCAGATGCTAGCCCTGGCTGGGCTAGGGGGAATGACACTTGCTCTCCCCCTATAAGATGGGGCCGGAGCTCAGGCAGACCCACACCCAGAACCTCTCCCAGCTGCAGAAAGCTTCACAGTACCCATCCTAGGTTTCTGCCCTCACTGTGCCTCAGCTGCAGGGGGAGGGATCACTGTGTGGACATCTGATCCACATCTGTGCATTACAACTCTCCAATCAAGCCTTACCCCCACATCCAGAACCTCCAAACACTGAACCCTCCCATCCCCATCAAGCCTCACCCCTTGAATACAGAGCCTTGTGCATTCAGAACCCTCTGCCAAGACACACACTCCAAGCACCTGGACCACCCCAACAAATTACATACACATGCCTCTGGATCCCCTTGCTGAGTCACCTGCACTCAAACCCTGAGCCGCATCCCCTGCACCTGGACCATCCCAACAAGTCCCCCATAGCCGGAAATGCCACTCCACTGGGCCCCAAAAAGCTGCAACCAGACACCCCTGCTGAGCCTCAAAGACCTTTACTTTGACCCTCTGCAGAGTTCCACTACCACTACATCTGGAAACAACCCCCTAGTAAATCCCTGGACATCCAGATCCCTCTGCACCCAAACCTCCCAATGAGCCGCCCACTGCCAGACTGCCCCACAGAGAATTCTCTCACCTCACACCTGGAACCCCTCACACTATGCCTCTCCACACTTGTATCCTGCAAGACAGAGCTTGGGCAGGACCGGGGATTGTGTAGAGGTATAAAATCCCATTTTAGTTAGTTAACTAGTTAAACGTAATGTTTAACTAATGAACTGATTAAATGGGGTGGGGTGGGGTGGTCTGGAACCCACCCCCTTCCCCCCGCTCACTGCAGTTGGGAGCTGCTCTGTCTGGGCTGAAGTGCCCCTTCACCCACAGTGGGCCCCCATGGGACTGAAGCAGCCCCCAGCGGTTAACTGTAGCCAGTAAACCTCACCTATTAAGGGTGAGGCTTACCACTTAACCATTAATATCCCTAGTCTTGCACTGTGTCAGGGTCACATGAAGCTTCACCACTAAGTCCATATCCCAGAGTGGGGACCAGAAGGCACCAGCAGAGTGATCACCAACCTCCATATTCAGCCAGCCAAAGCCTCCACATTTATTTACTGACAAATAAAATTTGCAGAATTTTAAAATATTGTGTGCAGAATTCCCTCAGAAGTAATCTAGTCAGGATCAGGCAGAGTCAGGGGAGAAATCACCACCATATATGAAAACACATATGTGGGTGCATGTGTGCGTGTGATAGAATGCTTCCAGAATGCAGACTGCTCTTTAGAGACATGGAGTTTCCAGGGTAATAAACTGAAGAAACCCTTCCACTCCTGATTTCCCATAATCTTCAAAAAGTAAAGTGTGTCTTACCCTGGCACGCTCCAAGCTCCTTCTCTGTTCATGAAATGCAGCTGGACTTTTCAGAGCTGGTGGGAGGAAAACATTTACAGAATGAATTAGAATGGTGTATCCCAGACCCTCTCCATGCCTATGTCACTCAGAACAAGCAAACTAAAGTTACCAGAAATTCTCACAGCAGCTCTTATGCATATGTTCAACATACTGGACAACATTTTCAGCAGGTGTAACTCAGTGTAGCTCCACTGACCAAAGGAAAGGACATCAGTTTATACCAGTTGAAGAATTGATCCTTTTCTGATTTTGTAAAAATCACAATGTGGGCTAAATGTTCACTTGGATTTGACACTGAGGTGCCATATGTAAACTTCATCTATTCATCTGCTGGGGCAAAGAAATAAGAGTCAAAAGTAGATAATGGAACTATGAAATATCCTCAGCAAACTTTCCCATGGAGGTAAAATGCTCTGGACCCAGAATAAAGTGGTAGGCACCAGCATACCTGAAGGGGCATGTGAGAATGGAATGATGGTGGGCGGGTCCCTCATGAATTGTAAAACCTCTCTACTGCCATTCAATATCATGGAAAGTCAGTTTCACCATCTGTAAAATGGGGATGGTATTGACCTTTTTTGTAAAGTGCTCTGAGATCAATAAAGAAAAAATTATATACAAGGCCAGGCATTACTATTACATTCATCTACAAATCTGCACCCGTGTTGCACATGTGTGCATACATGGAGTTGGCTCTCTCTCTTTTCCTATAGAGTTGGTAGATTTTAAAAAGGGCCTATAAACTGTCATTGCTTGATAGTCTTCTTGCACAAAATCAAAAATACTTGGACAGGAAAGTATGTATCTACCAAAAGGTAACTATAGCAAGAGAAATTAAGAACTGCTGAAGAATGTCACCATTGTCCCTCTGTATTCCTCACTTTTATTTCACAATTATAACATTTTCCATAAACAAAAACTACAAAGATATTACATAGCTAGCACCTGGAATAATCTCGGGCTTGAAGAAAAACATAGGAAATTTCAGGCATATGAAATATGAGCAGTTTTGTCAAGTTTAGAGTAAAGGACCAGAATCAAGCCTACACCTGAAATGGAACTACACATCTAATCCCATTATTATACTCAGATTTAAAGGAGTGAGCCAGATAAGAACCTCCTTGACTTCAACTGGGCACTGCATAGGCATACGGATCTTCTCGTGCTGATTGTATTACAAGTTCAAGACTCTAACCTGGACACTTACCTGACAGATTTTGTATGTTACTATCAGCTTAAAAAGTTCAGTTTACAAACTTTAGTCTTATGAAATTTAAAATCCCTTAAAACCCTCATGAAACTTTCAGAGGTTCAAACTTCAAAGTTGAATACCTACAAAATGCTGTATCCAGGCCTTACAAATAGTCACATGCACTAGATTTTATCCGATAATAGTGCACAAGACCCATTTTAATATTTCCAGATTAAGCTATTTGAGAGACTTCCTTTTATAACGAAGCATTCGAAAATTGTTCAAAATATGAAAATCTTTGCTTAAATTTAATGTACAAAAGAGTGCAGGGTGCACTAAGCTTTTGCCTAGGGTAAGGAGGAGTGGATGAGGTCTGATGGGTAAGGGTCAGAAGCTGAGGCAGCTGTGTCTTATTTTGGAACATAGAGTTACTTCAAATTTACATGAGCGTAACAGCACAATTTAGTCCAGATAGTGGGAATTTGAGGGGCAGTAGCCAATAGTAAGAGATTTATACTGTAGTAGCCAGAGTAGAACAATTTGCATAGTAACTGCAGTTATTGAGAAATAACCACAGTGAGTATAAAAATACCTGCCCTCTGATGGGCTAATAATGGCTCTGAGCCATGCTAGTGGGATTTTTCAAGCTATCCGGTTATTGAGAAACAAACAAAAGGTTATTACGCAAGTTGGCAAAGGGGAGTGCAAAGAATAATCATAGAACTGTAACCCAATTACTACAAAATCTCTACAGTCTGATTAGCTGAGACAATTACATTTCAGAATACAGGCAGTCCCCAGGTTACGTACAAGATAGGGACTGTAGGTTTGTTCTTAAGTTGAATTTGTATGTAAGTCGGAACTGGTACATATTGTAGGGGAAACTCTAGCCAAACATTTCTCCAGAGCTCAGTTTTATTCTCCCACACCTCACTTCCCTCAGTCCTTTATTCTCAAGCTGAGGTGTCTGCTGAGAAAAGCCGCTCCGCATCTCCCTGGTCTGCTGGGGAGGGGGGGCGCTAGCTTCGCGTCTCCCTGGTCTGCTGGGGGGAAGCAGCTAGTGCGGGGTTGCCTCACCCCGTTTGTAAGTAGGGATCCGATATAAGTCGGATCCATGTAACTCGGGGACTGCCTGTAATTTATGACAGTCATTGATGAACAGCAAGAGACAAAGTTGTTGGAAAAAAGCCAGAGTTATTTGTGAACCCACACAAATAAATACACCCCTCCTTGATTAACAAACACTAATCTTTAAGTTTTATTTAGTCATATTTTGTGCCATGCACAAAATAGGATATTAACATAAGTTTTTGTTTCTTCCCCAAGCGCACAGAAGCAGAATGAGAGTGTGCAACAGTCAACCAAGTCAAGCGTAGGGATGTAAAAAAAATGGGAAAAAATATGAACTGTGTAACCGATAGAAATTTCTGTCGGTTTATACAATTAGTCGCAGGTCTGCCATGGATTCTGGCCCCAAAGGGCTGCTGGGGCGCTCAGCCCCATGGGGCTACCAGGGCAGCTGCAGCTCCCAGCACTGTAGGGCTGCCAGTTTTCCCAGTTCCACAGAGATTCCTGGCCACACTGGGCTGTCAGGGCTGCTGCAACTCCCAGGCCCGAGTGACTGCCACGGCTTTAAGAGTTTAACCAGCATAACCTTATTGGTTAACCAGTTCAACTCTTACATCCCTAGCGAAGAGCCATTTGGGAGTGGATGTCAAAGCGGATTTCACCTGAGCTTTCAGTAGCACTTCATCACCAGTGCTTATGTTCCATAGTAGCTTTGCCAGCTTCCTTCCTGCATAGTTCTGCCATCATAGTATATGCAGCACATCTATGCGTTATGTTGTGGGAGTGAAATGACATTTTCCTGACAGTTATAACCATCTCTATGATGCAACTACTCACAATTCTGTTAGCTTCATGTGCAGTTCTGGGAGCATTCTGAATATAGACAAGCTAAACTAGAGGAAAGAAACTTTCCTGATAGAACAAAGTATGGCAGGATGGCTAAACAGTTACCCTAAAGAGCAATTTTAATTTCTCATGGGCATTCCTTTGGAAACAAACAGTGGTTTGTACTTTGCTCTATCCTGGCAGCAAGACAGACTTCATATGTGACCTCTAAAAATTTCCAGGGGAGACACATCCTTCCCTGCTTTCCTCAAGAGCTCTCTGTAGCAGGGGGCTCATGTATCAGAAAAGGGTAGCTGTTGTATAAACATACTTCATCCAAAGTTAACAAAACCCTATACATTTTTCTTGGCCTTAACTGCATAACAAACAGTCTGGACCTTTGTAACAATTCTGCTAAGTAGCCACCAAGGCTTTATCTGCACTTCTAAGATTAACGTACTTTCACAGAATGAGCTCGCATATTAGGGAGGGGAGTGCAGTCTGAGCTACTTCTTAGCAGGAAGTTATCCACCTGGAGACCATCTGGGAAGAGATTGCTTGACCCTTCACTCAGTCTGCACAGGACAAAAACAGATGATGGGAGGAATTAAAGGATTTAGTCCTATGTGGATACAAAAGCTAGATCTCGCCTGACATCCAATGTCTGAAAATTCTGCTTCTCGGGGATTAAGTGCATCTTAGGGGAAAAAAAATTAGTCGATATATGACATGGTTTCAGGTGAAAGTGAGACAAAAACTGCCGCAGGGCCATTGTCTTTGGAAAACATTGTATAAGGAGGCTCTGCCATCAAGGCCTACAATTTACATGCTTCTCTTGCAGATGATATCGCTGGCAGGAAGGCAATCTTTTGACACAGAAGGGAGAGAGGAAGTAGCCAAAGGCTCAAGACAGACCAAAGTAGAACACAGTGTACTGACAGTGCCAGCCTGCCACAACAAACCAGAGAAAAGCCTTCTACAAACTGGGACAATTGCTATGTGAAAATAAGCATACCAAAGGTCCAGAGCAGTAAACGAGTCATTGGAGTTTAAGGCAAGGAGGATAGTTGCTCAATTATCATCTGGAATCTCATGCCTGGTGTATTAGTTGACGTCGCAGAGCTCAAGAATAGGTCTTGTCCTCCACTGGGTTTAGGAACAGGACCAGCCTTACTGGTGGGCAACATGGGTGACTGGCCAGGTGCTGTGCTTGGGGGGATGACATGCTCAAATGGAAAGGAGCGGGACAAGTCTGGGATGCCAGGCTGCAGAAGGGAGCACAGAACAATGGGGAAGGAAATAGCAGAGCCAGAGGTCAACAAAGGGTACATCTAGACTACATGCCTCTGTCGCCAGAGGCATGTAGATTAGGCTACCAGACATAGGTATTTGTCGACATAGGTATTTGTCGACCACCCAGGTAAGCCTCCTGGGATGAGGTTTACCTAGGTGGTCGACAAATACCTTTGATGTCGCCACCCGCGCGTCCAGACTATCGCGCTGAGCCGACAAACAGCTGATGAGCTGTTTGTCGGCTCAGCGCGGCAGCCATGTAAATTTAAATGAAGCGGCGATTATTTAAATCGCTGCTTCATTTTCCTATGTCTGGTAGCCTAATCTACATGCCTCTGGCGACAGAGGCATGTAGTCTAGACGTACCCTGAGAGTTAGGGAGCCCAGGGTGGCAGTGGTGTCCAGTTGTGTCCAGGAATGGGAGACTGGCTGGGAAGCCCTGGGAGGCAGTGGGGGCCAGTGAGTCAAAATACAAGTTCACCCATGGCACCATTTTCTCTAAGGCTGGCTCTTTTTGGGAACCAGGAAATATTAGGAGAAATCCATGACCCTGACAACTAAACTAATAGGGACAACCTGCTTGAGAATCAATATGAGACAACTCTCTAAAGAGGGATGGGGTAAGAGGTCAGAGAG